CAGTTATCATTTTCTTTGCCTTTGGTTTCAGTCCTTGAATAACTTCTGCAGCCAGATTGGAGATGATCGCCCACTGTCCTACTGCCACTTCAGCCCCAATTCCAAACTGCTCGCGACTGCCTGCTGGTGAGTTTCCTTCCACAGCACTTGCTTTAGGGGCTGGAGACCACAGCAGGAGTGAAGGAGAGGGGTGCTACTGCAGGCCGGTGAATCAGGAGAGTTCAGAAATGCTTTTTCTTTCTACTCTGAACTCTCTTCCCTTCATTTTAGAGCCTAGGAGATATTTCAGTCCATTAGTTGCCATGGCTGGTTGCCCCACATGCATTGGTATTTCAGCCATTGCAGCTGCCCATACCCAGGTGGTTTTGCAGCTCTGTGTTTGATCTGCTCTTTGACATTCCTGCCTACACTGACACCTATTTCTTGTCATCAACAGGAGTGGGTTGTGCAAGCTCTGGTCCGTGCCCGACTGCAACCTTGTCCACACCTTACGAGGTGAGAGCGACTTTGCTGAGTTCTTTTGTTCCTCTGTGGACTGAGTTCCCCTTTCTCAATTACTTTGTGGCTCCAAATGTAGTGATCTTTGGGCAGGTTTTGTTCTCATGAGAGCACTGGGGAGCTGGGGCACTGTCAGGTAATGACGAGGAAGTCCTGGCCCTTCTCTTAGAGCTGAGACCAGAGTTTGCTGTTCCTGATTCTAAATGGGGTTTTGTTTCAAAACCTGGTTTGAATTATTTAGAGGCAAATAGCATTTTTGGCCAGTCACTTACCAGCAGTGAGGTTCTTTGAACAGTGGTCACAACTCTGACTGGGTACAAAGGTGAGGACAGATCTCTGGATTCATATGTTGGATTTTCACTACATTTTGCGTGTCACAAACCTTTGTGTTGGACACCCTGAAGTGGGTGCTGCTGGAAGTGCAGTGTAGCTGTTGGCAGCTGTGGCTGGTGGTTACAGTGCACCTTCACCCAACGTGGGAGGACACAGCGACAGCGTTCACTGGTAGCCAGCTGAGCAACAAAAAAATGCTGCTTCTCTGAAGAACTGGCCAAGATCATGTGGCAGACAGTGATTTTTTGATCTTCCTTTCTCTTAAGGACACAGCACCAATGTAGGAGCAATAGTTTTCCATCCCAAAGCCACTGTCTCCCTGGACAAGAAGGATGTTAACCTGGCCTCCTGTGCAGCTGATGGTTCTGTCAAACTCTGGAGCCTTGAAAGGTCAGAATGATACCAGACAAGCACACTGCAGCATGGTTGGTTTGGGGTTTATTTCATGCTGCTGAACATTGGACATTTACCATCCTCCTGCAAATGCAACCTTTTCTTGTAGTTATACCAGTGCAGTTCCTGGCCTCAGTTTGTGCCACCTTCTTCAGCAGGAAAAAAGATCACCCTGAGTAGGGACATCCAGGTGAGGGGAAGTCATCTGAAGAGAATCAAGTCCGGGTTGCTGCTGGGCTCTGGTGAATGCTTTGGGTGATGGATGGAAGATTTGGAGATTGTTTCATTCTGACCTTTGATTTAGGAGAAAATATCCCCTCTTAGACTGGACTTGATGGTCTTAAAGGTCTTTCCAACCAAGCTGATTCTATGGATATTAAAAAATGAACTTGAGTTATTAGAAAGCACCAGTATCTGGAGAGGGAGTAACCAAATACAGGAGGATGCACAAAAGCTTCAGCCTCTCAGTGGCTCTGTCATTGCAGTGTAATTTTGGAAGAAGATGTGCAGCATCTATCTCAAGGCTGTGAAGAAGAGAAGGTGTAGACACTGAGCCCTGGCACTGGCTGTGTTTGAGGAGCCCTTCAGTGCACCTCATGCAGTGGAAGTGCTCAGGTGCTTATCCTTAGCTAGAAGTCAGTGTTTCCAGTCATAGAAGCACAGCTCTGCACAGGCACAGGCTGCTTATTAGTCTCAGATGACCACATCTCTTTAGTTACCCTGTTGGAAAGAAACTAAATGCTGCTCAGGTCTCCGGCTGAAGGTTGCTGACCTGCTGCTTGTAATTCTGGGAGAATATTCCCCCTATCCTGCCTCCCTGCAGCTCTGCACAAGAGCAGGATTTGCTCTAGTTCTGTGAAGCCACAGTAAATCTGCTGTTGCAGTAGTCTGTGTTTTGGTTCTGCACTTTAAAGTGCTAATGACAAGGGCCTTTTCAGGAATAATGATAATAATTATCCTAGGAGAACTTTGTAACCAGCATGAGTGTGGATCAAGGGGTTCCACTTACAGCTGCACCTGGGTGAGCAAAGCCAGAATTCAGAGCCATTAGTTAAAGCTCTGATGTTCTGGCTGGGTGGCATTTAATGTGCAGATCCTGTGCTGTGAGCAGAATGTTTGCAAAGGCCTCCAGGAGCTCCCTCCTCTGACCAGTGCCTGATTTTTGTCTTTCAGTGATGAACCGGTGGCAGATATTGAAGGACACAGCATGAGAGTGGCACGTGTGATGTGGCACCCGTCAGGCCGGTTCCTGGGTACCACCTGGTAGGGAGGTTTGCTTATTTCCTTCAGACATTACCATTCGCTCTCTATCTGGTAGTCCAGTGGGTGCTGTTGCTTGTCCAGAGGAGCTGAGTGTGGGCAAGGGTTGGCCATTGACAGCAGCTGGGCTGCTGCAGTGTAAGGAATATCAAGGCATTGGGATTCCTTTCTCAGCCCCTCATGGGAAACCTGTTGGTCTCCAGCTGGAAATACCACCCACCCCCCCACCCCCCCCCTTTAGTGCAATATCCTCTTGTTCTCCTTGGAGATCCATTGGGCTGGACACATGCTTTGTTTTTACAGCTACGATCACTCGTGGCGCTTGTGGGACCTGGAAGCTCAGGAGGAGATTCTCCATCAGGAGGGGCACAGCAAAGGGGTCTATGACATTGCCTTTCACACGGACGGGTCCCTCGCAGGCACTGGGTGAGTGTGCTTTGCATTGGGACCAGACATGAAATGGTATCAAGGTTTGGTTGCTGACTGATGCCAGGTGCCCCAGTGATGCTGCTGGTGAGGCTGAGCTCTGGCACTTGTGGAAGGCTCTGATGGGTAACACTCGTGGTCTCCCTTCCTAGAGGACTGGATGCTTTTGGCCGGGTGTGGGACCTGCGCACAGGACGCTGCATCATGTTCCTGGAAGGCCACCTGAAGGAGATCTATGGGATTAACTTCTCCCCTAATGGGTAAGAAGAGAGTTTGGGTGGTGGGATTGGGAGCTCTTGAGTACAAAGCTCCCAGCAACACCTTCCCCCACCCTTTGGCAGATACCACGTTGCGACTGGCAGTGGTGACAACACGTGCAAGGTGTGGGACCTGCGCCAGAGGAAGTGCATCTACACCATTCCTGCCCACCAGAACCTGGTGACCGGGGTGAAGTTTGAACGTAAGCACCTCCTGAGCTGAGGTGGCAGGGGATGAAACACCTTCAGGTCGAGAAGGTCAGGGTTTGGGATGGTTTTATCTGCAAATCTCACCTCTCCCTTGTTCTCATCTTCTGCTGCAGCCAACCATGGAAACTTCCTGCTTACGGGCGCCTATGACAACACAGCCAAGATCTGGACTCACCCTGGCTGGTCCCCACTGAAGACACTGGCTGGTCATGAGGGAAAGGTGATGGGACTGGACATCTCCCTCGATGGCCAGCTGATAGCAACCTGCTCCTATGACAGAACCTTCAAGCTGTGGACAGCGGAGTAGCTCAGAGCTGTTGCTCATGAACTGAAGGAGATGTTCGTGGCCATCAGCTAGGACAACCTTTTTTATATTAAAGAAAGGAATGGGCTATTGCAGCATGTGGTGGGGCAGCTGGGCACTGGCTGGGCTTGGGTTGAGGTGGTTGTGAAGTACCTGTGTTTGCTGGAGGCAAATCTTGGGTCATGTTTTTGTACCCTTTAGGATGCTGGTTTCATACTGCAGATACTTTCTGCTGCTGTTTGGAGATGATCCATCTGCTTCCACCCTCCCTTCCCTGTCAGCCTCAGAGGTTTCCTCCAGTCCATTTTACACATCTGTGGCTCCCCACACACCCCTCAGGTGTGCTGTGGTGGTCAGCCTCTGCTCATTCCCTTCTTACCTTCCATTTCCAGGAGCCTTTGGAAGGAGTCTGTGGCTTCAAACTTGATTTGCATTTAAAGAAGGGAAAACTTGGTGTGAGTGTTAGAGGAACATGGTACCCCAAGTGTGGAGGTCTGTGTGCCCTTTGTGTTCACCCACAGGAGGTGTTAAAGGCCAGGGAAGTTTCTTTGTATGTACCACCTCATGTCCTTGATGAGCTGGGTGCTTCAAATGCACGTAGGCATCTCCTGTGTAAGTTTTTGCTGTGTCTCACCTGAGGTGATGTGAGAAAGGGTGTTTCAGTGTAGGACTGTCTTGTTCTAACATACACACTGCAGGGAGCATTCTTCCTTGATGTTTATTCTTCACATTGAGGCTTTGCAGATGTTGTGTTCTGGAAAATCAAAGCATGTTTTGAATGTGCCTCTGGGCCCGAGTGAGGAATGGAGAAATTACAGGAACTTCACAGCGCAGTTTGCTTTCTGTCTGCCACCATAAAAACCCCTCAGGAGGAACGAGGAGACTGGTTCATGTCCTCACTGTCAGCTGGAGCAGCTCCGTGTTCCTTGGCAGCATGAACATGGTTCTGCTCTCAGCACCTGCAGTGGAGATGTTCTAAGAAAAAAAATCACCCACAAGTTACTGTTCTTCTGTGAAGCACCTTGTGGGCTTTCTCCTCCCTTCTGAGCAGTGGGGTGCCAGCTCCATGTGCTCTGTGCCAGCTCTTATTTGCTCCCAGGGAAAATGGTGTGGGATAAGAGGTCAGAACACCAACCTTGTCCCACATCAACGGGACCATAGCCAGCAGGTCAATGGAGCTGAGGTGCTCACAGAGCGGCACTGGGCACAGTCATACAGGTTGTAGACCACCACCTCTCATGGTGACTTACCCCCTTCCAAGAGCAGCTGAGCTCAGGCTGACCTGGCACCCCTGATGCTGCCCCTGGCTCCTTGGGGAGCTGCCTGGCGGGAGGTTTGTCAGTAACACACGAGGCTCCCTCAGGAACAAGACCTTGGCCTGATCGCATCCATGGCGTGGCTGTTCCAGGCAGCTCCAGTGCCTTCCCCACCCACAAGCTGAAACCCTTGGGTCCTATCCCCGCTGATCACACGTGGCAGCTCTGCAGGCGCAGAGTGGTGCTTGGGGAGCCACCTGCTCTCTGCTGGAAAGGCTGTGGTCAGAACACCCCCACCTCCTCCAGCACTGGCTCCGCACCCTCACGCAGCCGCAGGACGTGGATCCCCGAGCTGGAAGTGGCACAGAGCAGCGTGGAGCTGTCACAGGCAGCCAGCGAGGACAACGGTCCTGCTCCATCCAGGTACAGCGTGGCCAGGCAGGCTGAGGAGGGAACAGAGACGTCGCGGAGGTGAGACACAACCACACCAACCTCCCACCTCCTCTGCTCTGTCTCTGGCCCTCTCCTGCATCCCCACATTGGGATGTGCCCTTTGAACGAGGGACTCTCCATGTCTAAGCCCCACGGTGGGTCTGTGTTGCCCAGTCGGGCAGTGGCCAGTGAACAGGAATGAAGGCTGAGGTCAGGCTCTGCCCCTTCCCTGGAGAGGAGGCAGGGATGGATTGGACAGACGGCCCCACTGGGCAGAGCTGCAGGGCTCTGTGGACACGTTCCCAACATCCCTTTTTCTCCCAAATTGCTTATACTCCAGAAGAACCTTTCCTACGTGCTGTGCAACGCAGCGTGTGGTTTTGATAAGCCCCAAACGGGAAAGAGAAGTCATTTCCCATTTCCTTGGCTGGGGGACAAGCAGAAGCCCCTGGGGCTGCTCTGGGGCAGCTCCACCCTGCCCTGCAGCTGGATTAGAGGAAAACTTAGAGATCTGAGGCTTCACCGTGCCCATCAGCACTGGGAGACAGAAACCAAGCAGGAGCTCTGTTACCCAGAGTGGGGCACGGGGCGGGCAGGGCCCTGCCCTACCTGCAGTGTCTCGGTCCCAGACCTTCACGGTGCTGTCAAGCGAGGCCGTGGCGATGCTGGGGGCGAGCGTGGGGCCCCACGGCAGGAAAACGCCCGAGGTCGTGGTCTGGAAGTGCCCTTTGTACTCACACAGGTGGCTCCTCGTCTGCCGCAGGTCCCACAGCTGCAGGGCACAGGCAGAGGTCAGAGCTGGATGCCCACAAGCATCGTTTCAAGGACATGGCACCACTATGGCAGACTTTGGACTGTAATTGGGGTGGATAATGGGGATGGAACATTCGACATTCATTACTGAAGGATACCCTGGAAAGGCTGCACTCAAGCACGCACAGTCACGATGTTTCAGATACTTTGCCAAGAAGGTCCTGAGCTGTCTTCATTGTAATAGTGAGAATCACACCCACAGGTCTCACCCTCCCGATGCTCACACACAGGGCTGGGACCCTGCACGGTTTGGAAATGCCTCCAGCACGAGGGTTCCTGACGGGCTTCCTGTGCGAGCCTCGTGCTCCTCAACGCCATGGAACAAAATCCAGGGCTTTAACCAAAAGCAGCTGCTCAGGTACCCCCCGAGCACCAGGCTCGCCAAAGGGACACGCAGGAAGATCCTAAGCAGCGGAGCAAGCAGGTGCTTGGAGCGGCAGCCTGCTGCCCTCTGCTGCGTGCCATGGGCACGGGAACGCGAACCCCCGGGCAGGCAGGTGCCTGCCGTGCCGCCCCGCTCGCACTGCGGGGCTGGGTCTCACTCACCGTGGCCTCGCAGCCCTCGCCCGCGGTGCCGCTGCTGGTGCTCAGGCAGAGCCGCCCGTCGGGGCTCACGTCGCAGCAGGTCTGGATGTGCTGCTTGGCGGGGAAGCTGTGAGCCACCTCCAGCTGCCGCAGGTCCCACAGCCTCGGAGGAACCGGGAGAGGAAGGGGGACTCTGATGCATCATTGCCATGACGGGTGTCCCTCCATCCCCCCTGCGCTACCCTCGCTGCTGTCCCTCTCCTTCCCCCAGCAAGCCAAACCCCCAAAGCTCTCCCTGCACCCATTCAGGCTCCAGCTCCAGCCACTGGAGCTCTGCTGAGATTTCTTCTTTATGAATTCTCCTTTTTACCCAGTCACCACCAGTGCTGCTTACAGCCACCAGGCTCCCTCTCCTAGCTTTGCTCCCAGGTGAGCTGGGAGGTGGCTTCTGTCCACCCCAGCAGAGCACAGGAGGCCGGGTGGTCAGGACAAACCACAACAGAAACAGCCCTTTGTGCTCTGGGATTTTCCATAATCCCTGTGCACCCCAGGCTGTGTGGCCACGGGTAGAATTCCATATTGTAACAGAATCCCAGCCTGGTTTGGGTTGGAAAGGACCTTAAAGCTCCTCCAGCTCCAACCCCTGCCACGGCCAGGAACACCTTCCACTAGAGCAGCTTGCTCCAAGCCCCTGTGTCCAACCTGGCCTTGAACACTGCCAGGGATGGGGCAGCCACAGCTTCTCTGGGCACCCTGTGCCAGCGCCTCAGCACCCTCCCAGGGAAGAGCTTCTGCCTAAGAGCTCATCTCAGTCTCCCCTCTGGCAGGTTAAAGCCATTCCCCTTGGCCTGGCCCTACAGGCCCTTGTCCAAAGCCCCTCTCCAGGTCTCTTGTCCCCCCTTTAGGCACTGTGGGACTCTCATTTACCTGACTGTTTTATCCTCTGAGGTCTGGATGACATAAGGCTCCCCAGGCACCCAGCACAGATGTGTGACCTGCGGGAAGGAAAGGGTGAGCAGAAAGCAGCCCTGTGCAGCCCAGGCTGCTGTCCTGCAGACACTGAGCCACCAAGGCCACCTCCTCTCCTCCTCGTGCTGGGCTCTGAGCAGAAAACGGGAAGTTTCTTCTTGCTTCCCACCAACCCCTCCCCTGATGTGCTCCAAACAGCTCCCACTCACAGCATTCATCAGCTGCTGTGTGGCTCTCAGCACCTCTGTGCTTTGCTGTTGCCTGGAGAACGCAGTAACCACCCTGCAGCCCTGCCCTCCCCAGCTGCCACCTGAGCAGCGCCTCAGGGCTGTCCCGAAGCACCAAGCTCAGAGCAAACGCACCACGCACGGCTTCACGTGAGAAACCGGCACCCGGGCGCTGTGACGGGGCGCAAGGAACCAGCGGCTCCTACCAGGTTCCTGCGGGTGACGGCTCTGCGCAGACACCGCCCGGTCTCCGTGTCCCACGTGCACACGGCGTTGTCCCGAGAGCCCGTGCACAGCTGGGCGGCATCTGCAAGCACACGTTCGTTCGCATCGACAGCGACAGCGGGAGAGCTTGCCAAGAAATCCCTGGGGAACGGGAGCCCGGTGTCCCTCACCCCGGCTCGCGGCCAGGCCCGTCACAACCAGGTCATGCGCTGCGAAGCGCTGGCTTGGTCCCGGGGCCCCCTGGAGCTCCCACATCATCGCTGTCTTGTCCCGGGATGCGCTGAAGACTCTGCTGGAGTCAGGGGCTGAGGCGACCTGGAAGGGACAAGATGGGAGAAGCCGCGTGGCCTGGCCGCCAGCCCAGCAGGGCCAGCACCACCCTGCTGCGGCCGCGGCAGAGCCTGAGATGTGCAGAGACACAACTGGGGAGAGCCCGACCTTCAACCCCTGCTCTGCCCGTGCTGATGTGCACGTGCCCGACTGTTCACGCTGAGCCTCCTGCTGCCTTCTGCTCTGCCGGATGCTGGCACAGGCAAACCCCGACACAGTGGGAGCAGGGGAACCGCTCAGCCCCAGTGCAGCCCCTGCTGTGACCATGCAGGTTATGGTGGGGAGCATCAGGCAGCAGCCTCCCAGGACCCCCATTCTCTCAAGTTGCTTCAAGCCCCTGTGTCCAACCTGGCCTTGAACACTGCCAGGGATGGGGCAGCCACAGCTTCTCTGGGCACCCTGTGCCAGCGCCTCAGCACCCTCACAGGGAAGAGCTTCTGCCTAAGAGCTCATCTCAGTCTCCCCTCGGGCAGGTTAAAGCCATTCCCCTTGGCCTGGCCCTACAGGCCCTTGGCCAAAGCCCCTCTCCATTAAGAATAAAACCCAAGAATAACGATGAGTCTCGTGGAATGAGGCCTGCTACAAGAGAACAGCATCTCTGGATCAAAAACTTGACCTAGGAATTCATCCTGAGCTGCTGCTAAGTAGTCTCTTGGCAGGGAGAGCACGTCCAAGCCTCCTGGAGCCCTGTTTAGCCCAGATGCAACCACTCCATGCCACTTCCCTGGACAGCAAAGTATCAGTTGGGACCTTGGGAAAGACCTAGCACACCCTGCTACCCCGGTCCCTCTCTCTGAGGGAGCACCACGAGCTCTCTGCCGGTGACAAACCACTGCTCCATCACTCCCGGCTCCGGGTTTCTGACCGGTAGGAGCACAGGAGACCCCCAGCTCAGCCCAGTCACTCACCTTGGTGATCTCCCGCTGGTGGCCTGTGAACCGCTGCAGCACAGCCCCGGACCTCCAGCTGCAGACAGCCACGCTCTGCGGGGCAGGACAGGAGAGCAGGCCGTGAGCACGGACACACACCTCCCTGGTCCTGCTACGGTGAGCCCTGGTTCTTCTGGTTTGAGCTGTGTGTAGAGCCCATCCACTGCCAGGTACTGTAAGGGCCACTACAGTGATTCCAAGCCTGGGTGAGAGCATTTGATGTGATTTGAGCTCTGCAGAGCTTCTAAAACCGGGTTCAGTGTCTGCCCTCGCTCTAAGCTCATCTCGTGTTCCTAAATTCAGGGAGTGACAAATTGGAACCACTCATGGGAATGTTGAAAGCTCACACAAACCCCATTTTCCCAGCCCCTCAATACACTTCCCACCTGTGACCGTGCTGTGCTGTGGCAGGGGGAGCCTCACCTTGTCCCTTGCTCCGGACATGCACAGGTCTGGTTTGAGAGCAGCCACCGCGGTGACGGCATCGCTGTGTGCGGGGCTGCGCTGCGGAGCGGCTTGAGCATGTCCCACCTCTCCCGTGGAGCCATCGGCCCTGCACAGGCAGAGACAGCGACGGAAGCTGATGGTGCTCTGGGCACAGTCAGGATGCTCCAGGCACAGTGAGGGTGCTCTCAGTACAGTCAGGGTGCTCCAGGCATGGTCAGGGTGCTCTGGGCACAGTGAGGGTGCTCTCAGTACAGTCAGGGTGCTCCAGGCATGGTCAGGGTGCTCTGGGCACAGTCAGGGTGCTCCGGGCATGGTCAGGGTGCTCTGGGCACGGTCAGGGTGCTCCGGGCATGGTCAGGGTGCTCCAGCCATAGGCAGGGTTCTCTGGGCATGGTTCAGGTGCCCTGCCCCAGTGAGACTGAGGTGGCATCTGTGGCTGGGCTGGAGAGGAACGACATCTGCCTTTAGAGAGCAAAAGGGAAGCTGTGAATGGACAAATGCATCTCCTGGACTGGGTGGGATGGAACAGACCTATTCCACCTCCAGAGCTGCCAAATATTTAGGTGTTTGCTCTGTGCTGGTCAAAGAAGGAATTCCTGTCTCCCCAGCCTCCTCTTCCACTGACCCCAGCCTGGCTCTGAGCTCGGCTGTGCTCTGACACCCAGCACCCTCCTTGACAAGCACATGGAGTCCCCCATGCTGCCACCCTGGGCTCTCAGCTGCTGCCAAGGCAGGGATCACACACCCTGCTGCCATACGGGATTATTTCATAGAATCCCAGCCTGGTTTGTGTTGGAAGGGGCCTTAAAGCTCATCCAGCTCCAACCCCTGCCACAATCACCTGGCATTGCTTTACCTGTATTTGGTGGTGTGGATGCTGAATTTGCTCTGCAGTTTCCCCATAGCCCTGCTGATGAGCACAGCTCCTGATCTGGCCAGCAGTGACAAGCATCACATCAGCATCTTGGGTACATGCTGCTGGGACATGGCCTGGGGGTGAGGGGACAAAGCATTAGTAGGAAGCCAGAGAGGTTTCTGCTTGTTACATAGACAGGAGAAGTTGCTGATAATCACAGAACCACACATGGTTTGTGTTGGAAGGGACCTTAAAGCTCCTCCAGCTCCAACCCCTGCCACGGGCAGGGACACCTTCCACTAGAGCAGCTTGCTCCAAGCCCCTGTGTCCAACCTGGCCTTGAACACTGCCAGGGATGGGGCAGCCACAGCTTCTCTGGGCACCCTGTGCCAGCGCCTCAGCACCCTCACAGGGAAGAGCTTCTGCCTAAGAGCTCATCTCAGTCTCCCCTCGGGCAGGTTAAAGCCATTCCCCTTGGCCTGTCCCTACAGGCCCTTGTCCCAAGCCCCTCTCCAGGTTTCCTGCAGCCCCTTCAGGCACTGGAGCTGCTCTAAGGTCTCTAGAAGCAGGGGGTGGGACTGGATAATCTTTAAGGTCCCTTCAACCCAAACCATTCTATGATTCTGTGATGCCCAGGGATGTTGCAAATGCTCCATCCCTGGCAGTGCTCAAGGCCAGGTTGGACAGAGCCTTGGGTGCCATGGTTTAGTGTGAGGTGTCCCTGCCCATGGCAGGGGGGTTGGAACTTGATAATCTTAAGGTCCTTTTCAGCCCTAACTATTCTATGACTTCATGTGAAGCTTGGAGTGGTCTTCCCACCTCCAAACTCCAGCCCCAGGTCCAGGGTAGACATGACCATCTTGACAACGCAGATGCATTCAATACACAACCCCTTGCTGTTCAGGTGAGGCCAGGCTGCCCCATCCCAACACGCATCACAGCAGCCAGGCCCCATGAGCTGCAGGAGCCTTGGTCAGAGCAGGGCCTGAGGCAGCACCTTCCCTCTAATCCTCCCGGGTCACAGCCCGAGCACAAGCCAGTTTCAATGGCAGTGAATCGCCATGGACAGTAATTGGCTTCTCCTGAGCTCCAGACACACTAATGGGATATAGCCTGCAGCCGGGGCACATCAGTGCTCCTGACTGCGGGGGCAGTGGGGTTCTGCTCAGAAAAACCAGAACAGGAAAGACCGCTGCTTGTTCCAGCAAGGAAATCAACAGCAAAGCCTGGGAGCACTGAGCCAGAGGGGTCGGGGCTCTGCAAACCATTCCCTGTCTAATTTTACCCTGGCAGCTTTTGTGATTAGCAGTCAGTAACACCCCGCTAATCCCCACCTGCCCTGCCCCTGCGTTTGCTTGTTCTGTGGATGCTGAGAAGAAGCAGGGATAGATCAGCAATTCACTGCTTCCCATCAGACCAAGCATCTGAGTCCCTTCAGTACACTGGAATCACAGAATCCCAGCCTGGTTTGGGCTGGAAGGGGCCTTGAGCTTGAGGCAATTTTTGGAAGTCGTTTTTCCTGCACATTGCGATTCCAGGTTAAAACCTAAATTCCGATGTTTTAATCGCGGTCCTTGCTGTGTCCCGGCCAGCCCTCAGGGGTGTGCTCAGTGCAAGCCTCCTGGCCTGCAGGACAGCCCAGAGCCGTGCCCCAGGGCACAGAGCTGCCAGCGGCAGCGAGCAGGGTCTGTCTGTGCCCCCTGCCCACCGCAGGTTTTGCTGAGCCCTGAACAAGAGCCGCAGCTGCAGGATGCTCACCTGGGGCTTCCCTGCACGTTTTCCATGAGCCCGGTCCATCACAAAGCTCTCTGATAACACAGGGACCCTGCAGCAGCTGCTCCGTACGAAGCTGCCCCTCTGGAAGGCTGATTTTCCCTCTGGAGGATCTCCCATCCTCCCTTCCTCCAGTGCGTTGCTTCAGAGACCAAACCCATGTTTTACTACAGTGTATTTAAAGCATAACCAGCGCTGCTGCCTCAGCCTGAGGCGCTGCTGTGGATCCAAACCATGGAATAGGGAAACAACCGTACCCACAGCAGTGAGCACAGGAGTCACGGCAGCTTCCTCCCTGTTTTCACAGGGTATTAAACATCCCTCAGGAGAGGGGGTGGATGCAGGGGCAGCCCCAAGGCCCTATAGCTGGGGGTGACCCCATGGTGATGATGTGGGACCCTACAGCTGGGTTGGCCCCGCAGTGATGACCTGGAGCCCTATAGCCGAGAGGGACCCATGGCAACAACGCAGGTCTCTGTAGCTGGGGGTACCCAGACGGTGCTGACCTGGGTCTCTACAGCGGGGATGCCCCGGTGGATGCTAACGGGAGCATCCCGAGCCCCTGTCCATGGGGAGCCCCACAGCAGGACGAGGGCAGCCTGGGGGGTGAGCTGTGGGCACAGACCAGGTCGCTACAGCCGGGGCAGCCCCTGGGAAGGGCACGGGGACCGTGCGGGTCCCTGCAGCCGGGCCGGCCCCACGGCGAGGCCTTGGGGCAGCCAGCGCGGGCCCGGAACCCGCCCTGTGGGGCCGCTCCCGCCGTGCACTCACCGGGAGCGGGCGGGGCCCCGACGTCTGTCCCGAACCGTCCCGTCCGCGCCGCCCGGCTCCTCGGCAGCCGTACCGTGCAGTGCAGTGCCGTACCCTACCGTACCGTGCAGTGCAGTGCAGTGCCGGTACCGTACCGGAGCCGTGCCGGGGCGGGGCTGTACGCGAGGCCCGGGCGGGGCCGTCGCCGCCCAGCGGCAGGTGCGGGGCCGCAGGATGGCCCAGCGGGGCCGGGAGCCGCGGCCGCTGGCGGAGCGGGCGGCGGAGCTGAGGGTGAGCGGCGGCGGAGACCGAGACCGGGATCGGGATCGGGATCGGGATCGGGATCGGGACCGGGACCGGGACCGGGACATGGACCCTGCCCCGGGGATGCCTCAGTCTCGGGCCGGGCCCTTTCCCCGGTGCCCAGGGGAGCGCGGGGCGTGCGGGGCTGCCTGAGGTGGGGCGGGGCTGGGTCTGGGGCCGTCCGGGGAGGTCTTGGTGTGGTGCGGGACCGTGTGAGGGGTCCCTGTGGGGATGGGGGCTTCCTACGGGTGCCTCCTGGCAGGCTGTGAGCTCGGGGGGTCCCTGTTGAGGTGTGGGGCTGTGAGGGGGAATGAGGGCCGCCTGTGGGGAGCCCGGCAGGGTGCGGTCCATGGGGGGCTATGGGATGGGTCACCCGACGGCCCCCCTGTTGTGTTCCAGAACAAGATCGTGGACCGGTGCGAGCGGCTCCAGCTGCAGAGCGCTGCCATCGCCCGGCACGTGGACGAGGTGCTGCCGGCCAAGGACCAGGGCGTCCTGGTGAGTCCCGGGGGTGCCTGGGGCCGGGGCTCGGTGCGGGGTGGCTCAGCCGCGGGCAGAGCCGGCAGGGGCCGTCGGTGCTGGTGGCGGGGCTGAGCAGGGCTCGTGTCCCCTGGCCCCGGCAGAGCGCAGCCAGCGTGGCGCGGGAGCGGGTGATCCAGAGGCTGATCTTCGTGGGGAACGCGTGTGAGAACGAGGAGCAGCGGCTGCTGGAGAGGGTGCACGCCGAGGAGGAGCGGGCGCACCAGAGCATCCTGACCCAGCGGCTGCACTGGAGCGAGGCCCTGCAGAAGCTGGCTGCCCTCCGGACCTACCTGGTGGACATGATCACCAGCCTGGATGACCAGGGCCTGGTGGTGAGTACTGCTGCTTGTACCCAGGGACAGCGCAGCCAGCCCAGCAGTGACCTAAGCTTTTAATGATGGGTCTTAAATACAGTGTTCGGCAGCCTGCTGCACTGATAGCATGGAGGGGAGGCAGAGCCAGACAGGACCTACGTTTGCAGATCTAGCTCAAGGAACCTCCTTCACCTGGTTCCTTAAGCTAGGAACCAGTGGCTCCTCCACCTGGCTCAAGCCCCTGTAGTCCTAGAGCATCGGCTCTGCCCACTGCTGCTTCTGCTTGCAGTGAGGTTCAGAAGTACCCAGGCTCAGGTCTCCCAGCCTGAAGCTTGAAGCTGCCAGCCCTCAGATGCCCTTTGGCTGGAGAGCCAGGACAGCTCTGGGTTAATGGAGCCACCAGTTTTCTAGGGCTCTGTTCAGTTCACCCTCGGGAGCACCTGCAGCTCATCCTGAGAGCCTGCCCTGTTGCCTGGCCCATCTCT